CACTTTCCACTGTCTCCCAAGGCACAGTCATTTAATAATCAGTATTCCAAGTACTAAGAATACTAAGAAAAGTTCCTGGAAAACAGGGACCATGCCCTCTCTCCGCCTTGGCTCTGTGCATGGCCTGCCATTGAGGAATCTAAGCACCTACAACTGGCTGACACTCTTGGGGAGAGCGCCCTCACAGAATCGCCAGCATCAGTTTTCCCATCTGTAAAAGACAGGCAGCTGTGGAGACTGGGAGGCCAGCAAGTCTTCCAGATCGAAGTTGTTGCGCTCCTTGTTGTATCACAGCATGTGCCATGAACTTGGATGAGCTGACAAAGTCCTCCATGTGGCACAGGACAAAGAAAGGTGGAGTCAGTAACCACATCGGGGGCCCATGCACACAAGGCATTGCCCCATGAAAGCCCTGCAGCCTGAGGAGCATGGTGGGCAGGAGGCAGTGGCGACAAGGACAAGGCCTGGATAAAGCCCTGACAATGTCACAGAGTTCCAGCAAGCCGTGTGTGGGCACCAGGCCCAGAGCGTACAGCTTGTCCAACAGTGCTTGGGCCGCTCTGGCACGGGAGGCTTGGCTGGCTGCAGCGCGTGTCAGCCTTCCTCCACAGCCAGGGAGGCAGTCTGTGCAGGTCCATGACCTCCCAGCTCAGGAAGTCCACCTGCTCCAGCAGCTTCTGCTCATGGAACTTAAGCTTAGGTACCATGATGGCTACAGACAGAGTGGCAGGACCCCAAAGCACCGCATTCTTCTTGCATCCAGATATGGCCCTTGAACGGAGTGAGAGGAGGGATGGATGTCACAGACATTCCTTTCCTTCCTTGTCCAAGGCAGTATACTTTATTTGGAGACTTTAGAAAGGTTATAAAAGCAACTTAGAATACACCAACTGTGAATATTTATTTGCATGTCATGGATACACGGTGTGTTTCTGGCTGCTATTGCAATTATTAACACCAGAAACAGTGTTTCGTTTGGATATAATTTAAAAATTCAGTGATAGTTTACTAAAAGGAAATTATCTAATTTTCTATTAGAATGCCCAATGGGGAAATAAATTGATTTGTTCTAAATCAGGTGGGAATCAGAGACAGAGCAATATCCAGAACCACCTTCTCTTAAGCTATGTGTAGTTTGTGGTAGTTCTGGTGGTTTCCACTCAGGTTACAGCTTCTATAAATGGCCTCAGCCTTAATAACTCTAAATGCTCATTTTAAATTATGAAGCTTTACCACTCTCAGTGATTGGAACCTCTTTTGAAGCCCTGATGTTGGATGTCTTGAGATGGGCCCCCTGTGTTTTGATGACCTGTGTTTCTGGGAGGTCATTCATGAATCCCCCAGAACCACGTGTTTCTATACATTCATGCTCCCAGCTTCTCTGCTTCCCTGTCTGCTGCCTCGTCAACATCCGTACAGCCCTAATTAATCCTCTGCTTATTATTTTTCTCAAGACTTACAAAGGCATTTGTGAAGCTTTCATCTCATTTCCATCAAAGTTTTAAGAGCGTCCGTTTGGGTGTTATTCCTTGAGGATGTTTTCTCTTTTCTCTGAATTCCATCTCAGAAACTTTAAGAAGCATTTTTACATTGTCTTGAGGATTGTTTTTGCACATGTCATGTTCTGGTGGAGTTCACTTGACTCTGGATAACAATGTTTTGTTTCTTTTCTCTTTTAAATGATGTGTATGTTGGTCATTAGAAGTTTTACTGATCCGGCCGGGCGCGGTGGCTCATGCCTGTAATCCCAGCACTTTGGGAGGCCGAGGCGGGTGGATCACGAGTTCGAGAGATCGAGACCATCCTGGTCAACACGGTGAAACCCCGTCTCTACTAAAAATACAAAAAAAAACTAGCTGGGCGTGGTGGCGCGTGCCTGTAATCCCAGCTACTTAGGAGGCTGAGGCAGGAGAATTGCCTGAGCCCAGGAGGCGGAGGTTGCGGTGAGCCGAGATCGCGCCATTGCACTCCAGCCTGGGTAACAAGAGCGAAACTCCGTCTCAAAAAAAAAAAAAAAAAAAAAAGAAGTTTTACTGATCCTTTGTGTGGTGTTAATTTCATCTAAGAAACAGATTCTGAGAAATCAGCTTCAAAGATGAGCCCAGTCAGCAAGAGCTGTCGTTTCTTCCCTTGTTTTGTGGGAGAAGCAATGTGGAGCAGCCAGAGCTGGCTATGGCAGAAATGGATTTATTTAACAAGAAACAGACACTTTAACTGGGTCAGTCTAGCAGGACGGACCCAGGCACTGGCAGATACACAATGAATAGACACATATGGTTGGCATGTTTCCCTACACAGCATCCACATTTCTGGGCACAGAACCACATCAATTAGACTTCATGGTTCTACACATAGAAAGTGTACAGCCAACCCAAGCCAAAGGGAATTTATCGGAAGACTGTTGGGGAGCTCTTCACACCAACTGAAGGTTAAGGGAACCAGGCATGGAGAATAGGCCAGGACCAAAAAGCAGTAAGCTGGAGGGAAGCCCAGCAACTGTCTCGCAGCTGGAACTGCCTCGCCAGGACGGTGTCCCCACTGTCACGCCTGCATGGAGATGACTGACATTCCTGTTTACATTACACAATTCAGGAAGCGGGCATCCAGTTAGCTAAGTTCATACCAGGGATCTGAAGGGTGATGGGAGGGAGTGGTTACTGGATCCAGGAGAGTCTAGTAGGGGAAGCCACCACCAGAGGAGCAGTTTTCTTACCGGAAAGGGGTCCTGATCCAGATTCCAAGAGAGGGTTCTTGGACCTCGTGCAAGAAGAATTCAGGGAGAGTCCATAAAGGGAAAGCAAGTTTATTAGAGAATAGCAGCCTTTTCGCATGCTAATACATTACAATTATATATGAGCAGTGAGGAGACCAGAGGTCACTGTTATCACCATCTTAGTTTTGGTGGGTCTTGGCTGGCTTCTTTACTGCATCCTGTTTCATCAGCTGGGTCTTTGTGACCTGTATCTTGTGCCAACCTCCTATCTCATCCTTTGACTAAGAATTCCTAGCCTCCTGGGAATGGAGCCCAGTAGGTATCAGCCTTATTTTACCCAGCTCCCAATCAAGATGGAGTTACTCTGGTTCAAATGCCTCTGACAGTTTCCCTCTGCTACCAGCCTACCTTATGTGACTACAAGGGAGGGAATAGTTGTCCCAACCTCATTCTCCTCATCCTCTCTGATCTCCTGCCTGGGCCTCTCACTGGCCAAATCCACCTGGAAACCAGAGGCAATGAGCCCTTAGATGTAGATCAGCTTGGAGAACATGCAGGAACCATGGGAATTCTGGGGCACAGAACTTCCAGTCATGGAAGAGAAGGATTTAATCTTCACTGTTTTTTCCTTCCCTCTTTCCCCCACCCCACAAATTGCCCTTCAACCATCCTCTACTTTGACTCAATCTGTATTCAATGTGTACGGTATTATGAATAGTCAAAGACACAGTATATACTTAAATTATATTTCTTTTTTTGGTACAACTTCTTCCTCTTGGGGTAAGTAGTTATATTATTTTTTGTTTGCTTGGTTTAATAGTCCTGTTCCTAACACACCCCTAAACTTTGCCCTATGTGTGACCCTCTTAGCGCATTCATACACATCAGGTATTCCATTAATTTGATCTTTGTGGAGATGCGTTTAGCAGAGTCCTATCCCCTGCTCCAGTAAGAGCGGACTGCTTCCTGGGGCTGCTGTTCTGTCATTCTGGCTGTCTCTTCATCTTTCTTCACCTGGATATTGTCTTTCCTTTTTTCCTGCATTGAACCCACCCCTTTCCTGAAGCCATGTTTTTCTGAGTTGACTTCATTTTAATGAAGTACATCCACCAGGAGTTTCTTAAGAAAGAATTGTATGAAAAATTGCATTGAACATGTGGGAAAAGATGTTTTAAAAAGAACGAAATTTATTGCACATATAAAGTTTGGAGATTTTAATACCTTAGGGTGAAAATGATTTCACCAGGGACACAAAAATCATTCCACTAACTGAAGACTGAGCTGCGGCTGCCATTTTTGGCTCCTCCTGCCATTAGGAGTGCATAGTGCTATGTGTAGAAGGGGGTTTTGGAGTTGTTGGAGTGGATTGACTGCTATTATTAAAAGCAAAAAGATGGCTCTATAAAACAGAGGCAAAGAGGAGTAGGAATGGTATTCGGAGGAGACTGAGATGCCTCTTCAGAGCTCCTGCTCTGTCAACAGAAGATCACACAACTCTACATGTGTAAAACCATCAAGGGCTTAGGCTTTTCAGGAGTGAAAGTCTGTGGACTCCCTACCAGGGAAAGAAGTCGGTCAAAGCAAGAGGTACCTGGAATGGTAGTATAGGAGGGAAGTCATAAATAACAACTACTACTGACTTAAAACCAAGAAGCCAAAACAAGAACTAAAACTTCCACCTGTATTTCTTTCTTTGCAGTGATGTAAGCTATTTAAATTAATCCTTCTCTCATTTTTGTACATAGGGTATGCTTGTGGCATTTAAGTTTACCGTTTGGTCTAGAAGTTTTGGAATACATAGGTAAGAAAGAAACCAGGGAGGCGGGGTGGGTGCAGTGGCTCACACCTCTAATCCCAGCACTTTGGGAGGCCGAGGCAGGAGGATCACAAGGTCAGGATATCGAGACCATCCTGACCAACATGGTGAAACCCCATCTCTACTAAAAATACAAAAACTAGCTGAGGGTGGTGCTTCATGCCTGTAATCCTAGCTACTCGGGAGGCTGAGGCATGAGAATTGCTTGAATCCAGGAGGCGGAGGTTACAGAGAGCTGAGATCTCACCGCTGCACTCCAGCGTGGCGACAGAGCGAGATCCCATCATAAATAAATAAATAAATAAATAATACCCAGCCTCAGGTACCTCTTTATAAAAATGCAAGAATGGACAGATACACAGACAGTAGTTTTTCCCACCTATTTTTCCAAAAACTGTGCTCCTGCTCTCAGTCAGTCCTTTCCCAACCTGGAGCCTCCCAATAGCACAACCTACAACAATTAGAGACTCACTTGGAGGTTTATTGGCAGAAGTACAGAAGCACCTTGTTGGAAACACCATCTTACCTCTCCCATGGTCCTCTGACCCACAGTGGGAAAGGAGTGTTATCAGAGGTGGTAGCAAGTACACCCATGCCAGGAAGAGCATGTTTTGTCTGGTGTCAGAGTCCCAAGAAGTGCTCTCCTAGGGAACTGGCCGCAGGAACTTATAGAAAGTGCTCATGAGGGTCCTCTTATTCCCAGAGGCTGTGGCTCAAAGCAGCTCGCATGGATATATTGAAATTGATTGGAGATGCCGCTGGTGAGGGTATCTTACAGCTTCCGTAATTGCCTGTTTCAATGGCAGTGTCATTGTTCCTGTTGGAGGCCAGGGAATTTTGGGGTTATTGAAAGCAACAGAAGAAAAAGAAAACACTGTTAAAATTTAACTTAAAAATCACTTTCGGTTGGACACAGTGGCTCACCCCTGTAATACTAGCACTTTGGGAGGCCGAGGTGGGTGGATCACTTGAGGTCAGGAGTTCGAGCCCAGCCTGGCCAACATGGTGAAATGCTGTCTCTACTAAAAATACAAAAATTAGCTGGGCACGGTGTCACGTACCTGTAATCCTAGCTATTCAGGAGGCTGAGGCAAGAGAATCACTTGAACCCAGGAGGCAGAGCTTGCAGTGAGCCGAGATGGTGCCACTGCACTCCAGCCTGGGTGGCAGAGCAAGACTCCATCTCAAAACAAAACAAAACAAAACAAACCACCCACTTTTTTTTTTTTTTTTTTTTTTTGGAGACGGGGTTTCGCTCTTGTTACCCAGGCTGGAGTGCAATGGCACGATCTAGGCTCACCGCAACCTCCGCCTCCTGGGTTCAAGCAATTCTCCTGCCTCAGCCTCCCTAGTAGCTGGGACTACAGGCGTGCACCACCATGCCCAGCTAATTTTTGTATTTTTAGTAGAGACGGGGTTTCGCCATGTTGACCAGGATGGTCTCAATCTCTTGACCTCATGATCCACCCGCCTCGGCCTCCCAAAGTGCTGGGATTACAGGTGTGAGCCACCGCGCCCGGCCACCACCCACTTTCTAATTATGCCTTTTTCCAGCATCAGTGCCTTGAACGTATGTAGAAATATGGAAATGCGGGGCAGTAACAATATGCATATGTGGAATGATGTTAAAGGCAACCTGAGGAGAGAAGGCTACAGAGGAGAGGAGGAGGGAGCCGGGAGCCAAGGCCTGCCCTGCTGGAGGAACAAACAACTCTTCGAACCTTAAGCATTGCTGCAATGTGTGGAGAAGCTAACGTATTATGACTCAAAGACAAAATCCAGGAGACCAAAAATTTACGATCAGGGAAGTGAGAGTGAGCTGGGCTGCCTGAGGGATTGCCAGCCTTGGTAACCAAGGGCTTGGGCTGTCACATGGGGAGAGTCCTTTGTAAAGAGCTGCTGGCTCCTTCTCCTCTAGCTGAAAGAGAGGGCCTTCCTGGGACAACCCAGGGAGCTTGAGCTGTGGCTCCTGGGCTGTGGGAGAACAGTTGCTTCTGTGTCTAGGAAGCAAGGTCTTCCTCTCCAGTGCCTGGTCAAAATAGGAGGGGATGTTTCCTGAGGACCAGATGTAGACTGTGCCAGAGAGAGAGAGAGAGAGAGAGAGAGAGAGAGAGAGAGAGAGAGAGAGAGAGAGAAAGTACATACAAGCCTGGAGCCACTGTAAGCCCTACCCAAGAGGACTCCTTAAAGGGGTGATGGGATAGCTAGTGCTTGGGATGGCATGGACCCTGCAGAGCCACAGCTGGCCAGGGGAGGGGGCAGGTAGTTGCTGGGTGGCCAGATGAAAGGGAAGTGTTGCAGTTGAGGGGTCAAAAAGAGATTTCAAAGAACCCAAGAAAACTCCTGGCCAGCTGTGATGGCTCATGACTGTAATTCCAGCACTTTAGGAGGCAAGGTGGGAGAATCACTTGAGCTCAGGAGTTTGAGGTCTTGCAACATAGCAAGACCTTGTCTCTACTAAAAAAAATAAAAAATAGTCAGGCATGATGCTGTGTGCCTGGAGTCCCAGCTACTCGGGAGGCCGAGGCAGGAGGATTGCCTAAGCCTAGGAAATTGAGGCTGTATTGAGCCAAGATCATGGCACTATACTCCAGCCTGGGCAACACAGTGAGATACTGTTGAAAGGAAAGGAAAGGAGAGCAGAGGGGAGGAAAAAAGAGAAAGAAAGAAAGAAAAAGAAAGAGAGAGAGAGAGAGAGAGAGAGAGAGAGAGAGAGAGAGAAAGGAAGGAAGGAAGGAAGCTCCTAAGAGGAAAAAAGTTAACTTTAAACAGGAAACAGAAAAAGAAGAGTGACAACCCAGTTCCCCTCTAGGAAGGGTCACCTTGATAGGGAGCTAAGGAGAAGGTGTAATAAGTTCAGAGTTTTGATAATTTTTAGACATTAGACATTTTAATTTCAGAATTGAGGCTGCTTTTGCAATTTAAATGGGACAAAGGACATTTTATATTCTCAGAGAGAACCCATATGCTATGTGGCCTGCCCAGAAAGCCAGCTTTTATCCAGGGGCAAGAGGAAAACTTCTCCCACTGAAAAAGTTATGAAGGGCAGACAAAATAAATTTGCATTCTGATGATACCCTGCAAGTTGCACTTGTTCAGCATATTGGTTGCACTATCTTGCTTTGAGTTTCTAACACTTGTTACAGAAAGAATCTAATACAATTATTCGTTAGTAAATTAATGAAAAATTGGAGCTACTGGTTGTTTCCCTTATTCTGTCCATTTTGCAGAAGAGGCAGGTGGGGGCTGGGTGCAGTGGTTCATGCCTGTATTCCCAGAACTTTGGGAGGCCTAGGTGGGTGGATCACCTGAGGTCAGGAATTCGAGACCAGCCTGTCCAACATGGTGAAACCCCTCCTCTACTAAAAATACAAAAAATTGGCCAGGCATGGTGGCTCATGCCTGTAATCCCAGCACTTTGGGAGGCCAAGGCTGGTGATCACAGGGTCAGGAGTTTGAGTCCAGCCTGGCTAACATGGTGAAACACTGTCTCTACTAAAAATATAAAAATTAGCCAGGCTCAGTGGCAGGCGCATGTAATCCCAGCTACTCAGGAGACTGAGGCAGGAGAACTGCTTGAATCCAGGAGGCAGAGGTTGCAGTGAGCTGAGATGGTGCCACTGCACTCTAGCCTGGGTGACAGAGCAAGACGCCTTCTCAAAAATGAACAAACAAAAAGTACAAAATGTTACGTGGGTGCAGTGGCGGGCACCTGTAATCCCAGCTACTTGGGAGGCTGAGGTGGGACAATCGCTTGAACACAGAAGGCGGAGGTTGCAGTGAGCCGAGAGATCAGGCCATTGTACTCCAGCCTAGGCTACAAGAGTGAAACTCTGTCTCCAAAAATAATAATAATAATGATAATAAAATAAAATAAAAGAAGAAGAAGAGGCAGATGAGGCTGAGAGAATTAGGGTTTTACCCCAGGGACCCTTGTAAGCTTGGGTTGGAAATAGTCAATAGCTAACTCCACCATGAGTCTGCTTTGTCAGCTTACGCTTCTTTGCATTAATTTTCTCATCCCTCACTCCTTTTATTGAACACCTGTCATTAGAAAACACTGGGGTTTGCCTTGGGAGTGAATATCCAGATCAAAGAGCCAACATCCTTGTTTTCAAAGACAGGCTTATAATAAATGTAAGCCTGTGTTCTAGATAAGTCATGCACATGGCTTTTTTTTTTTTTTTTTTTTTGACAGAAAAAGCCATGTGCATGACTATCTAGAATACAAAGGAACTGAGCTAGGTTGGTAAAAGGTGTCATTGACCCCATGACTTCACGCTGGAGGAAGGGACCCCACGAAGCACCCACCTGTCTGCTGTGAGCTGGGGCTTTCCTGAGAGCTGTGAGAAACTGCCACTGGTTTGCTCAGCCGCCAGCAGCATGAGAGTCTCACTGGGCTGGGAGGTTGACAGGAGGCTGTTTTCAGGCTGGATGGAGAAATTTAGAGTCAGGTGTCTGCTGAGAGTGTTCTTGGCCTCCTCAGGGGATAACTTTGTAATATCACAAACCCCTATCGCAGTTGAGTTTCACAGCCTAGCCCTGGAAATCTGTTCCTTCAGCATTAAGCCCCCGGAATCATCAGACAAAAAAAACGGGACCCCTGGCAGGGTCGCACACACTCCCTGGTCAACTACGGTGGCTGCTCTGTCCAGAGCGCAGATCTGAACATTCAGAGGCAGAGCTGTCAGGCTGTAAAACTGCTGACCCTCAAAGTCAGTGACAACATACATGAAACACACAACTGAAGTGAGAGAAGAAAAGCATTTAGATTCTGAAATCTGAAGGTTTTGGACAGTCTTTTCTATTGGCCTTCCTTCCTGTGCTTCTACACCAAGCAGGACCCGGAAAGGCCTTATGTGTGTCAAAGACATACCCCAAATAAACCAGAGAAGAAGGGCAAATACTTGAGGAAATATCTGCAAAGGCTTGTAATTAAAGGATCGAAAATCCAGATGTATCAAAAGTTTTATTTTACAAATCAATTTAGAGAAACACAAGATTGCCAATAGAAAAATGGCCAAAGAACACAACAATGCCATAAATACATATATACATATATGGCATTGTATATATACATGTATATACATATATGGCATTGTATATATAGTATATATACATATGTGGCATTGACATATATAATATATATAAACAAGCTTGTGTTATATATGGAGAGAGCTATAAATACCTAACAATGTAACAATAGTTATATATGTATATAGACATAACAAGGCTGAAACTCATTGAAAATCAAAGAGATGCCCCCTTTTTTTAAGCTATTATATTAGGAAATTTATTAAAACATTTACTGCTCAATTGTAACAGAATACACAGTGACACAGCTACTAATTTTTTTTTTTTTTGAGACAGAGTTTCACTCTTTTGCCCAGGCTGGAGTGCAGTGGTACGATTTTGGCTCACTGCAACCTTCGCTTCCCCAGTTTAAGCGATTCTCCTGCCTCAGCCTCCCCAGTATCATTACGGGGGCCCACCACCACGCCCGACTAATTTTTCTATGTTTAGTAGAGACAGGGTTTCGCCATGTTGACCAGGCTGGTCTTGAAATCCTGATCTCAGGTGATCCACCTGCCTCGGCCTCCCAAAGTGCTGGGATTATAGGCATGAGCCACTGCACCTGGCCCACAGACACTCATATTGGTGAGAGTATAATTTGGTATGATCTGTATGGAAATAGTCCCGTAATATGTGTTAAGAGCCTTGAAAGTGTTCATGCTTTTTGAATTCTACTTCTAAAAACCAATCTGAGAATATTACCAGAAATGTGGATAATACACATAAATACTTGTTTTAGCATTATTTACAATAATAAACAAATAAAGGCCAGGCACAGTGGTTCATGCCTGTAATTTCAGCACTTTGGGGGGCCAAGGCGGGTGGATCACTTGAGGACAGGAGTTTGAGACCAGCCTGGCCAACATGGTGAAACCCTGTCTCTACTAAAAATACAAAAGTTAGCTGGGCGTGGTGGCATGTGCCTGTAATCCCAGCTACTCTGGAGGCTGAGGCAGGAGAATCACTTGAACTTGGGAGGTGGAAGTTGCAGTTATCTGAGATCACACGATTACTCTCCTGCCTGGGTGACAAGCAAGGCTCTATCTCAAAAAAAAAAAAAAAGAAGGCCAGGCGGGGTGGCTCAAGCCTGTAATCCCAGCACTTTGGGAGGCTGAGGCGGGTGGATCACGAGGTCAAGAGATCGAGACCATCCTGGTCAACATGGTGAAACCCCGTCTCTACTAAAAATACAAAAAACTAGCTGGGCGTGGTGGCGCGTGCCTGTAATCCCAGCTACTTAGGAGGCTGAGGCAGGAGAATTGCCTGAGCCCAGGAGGCGGAGGTTGCGGTGAGCCGAGATCGCGCCATTGCACTCCAGCCTGGGTAACGAGAGCGAAACTCCGTCTCAAAAAAAAAAAAGAAAGAAAAAGAGAAAGAAAGATTGATTTCTAAATGTCTAACATTAGAAACTGATTAAGTAAATTTTAATTCATATTACTGAATAGAAATTATCGAAATGATATTTACAAAGGCTTTTAAAAGACATGGAAATGTGTCTACACACACACACACACACACACACACACACACGCACTTACATATATACATATATACTTATTTCTCGATAGGTCCCGGAGGGAGGCCCACTTACTGTTGTTTCCGTGGAGCTGGTGGGCATCTTGGGCACCAGGCAGTGAGTGAATTCGATTCTTGGGTCTTTGGTGGTGATGGACAGACCTTTCTGCAGAATTTTCACCAAGCGGATCCAGAATTGAAACACAGTCTCTGGGTGTTTTTCGTGGAGCCTCAGGTAGTAGATCTTCTCGGTCACTGTCCTAACCCTCAGGATGCGTCGGAGCCGGTCACAGATTCGTAGCTCCACATACTTCAGGGGGAGAAGCCTGGGCATAATCAGGACATTCCCATGGGGGAGCCTGTGGTTTCAATTGACCACGTGGGTGCCCACCAGCATCACTGGCCTCCTACCTCTCTGCCTGGGGAATGCTGAAGGGAGAAAACTCGTGTAATGAAAGTGCGGGTGATTGCTAAGGCTGACTCCTCTCCAACTGCCAGGACTTTAGTAGGAATACAGGTGTGTGCCAGTATGCCCAGCTAATTTTTTTGGGAAGTTTTTGGTAGAAACAGATCTCCCTATGTTGCCCAGGTTGGTTTTGAACTCCTGGCTTCAAGTGATCCTCCCACCTTGGCCTCCCAAAGAGCTAGATTTACAGATGTGAGCCACTGTGTCTTGCCAAGATAAGTAAAATTAATTCCACTTTACAGATTTCGAGGCTGAGGCTAAGAGAGGCTAAGTGATTTGCCCAAGTTTAGATCTTATTAAGTATAACCTGGAACTAAGATTTCCTGACTCAATTTCTAGGACTCTTTCTCCCTATATCCTGATTTACTGTGTTGAAAGGGCAAGGAAAGGCTGGATGTCTCCCGTATATCTAGTTTTTTTTTTTCAATCTCAGCACTTCATAGTTTTGCTTGACTTTTATATCCTCACATTTTCCTTGGAAACCCCCTCTATATTGACAAAAGAAACATTTTTAAATGTCTAATATTAAGGGACTGGTCAAGTACATTTTAATTCTTTCATATTACTGAATAGAAATTATCAAAATGATATTTAAAAAGAGATTTTAAAAGACATGGAAATGTGTCTACACACACACACACACTCTCTCTCTCTCTCTCTCTCTCTCTCTCTCTTACACAAAAGGAAGCCAAGATTCTCAAAAACGAGGCTCTAGACAAAGAGTGCATACTGCCCTATCCCTGCACAAAGCACAGTTGCTTGGTATATACAGACACTAAATAAATACTTGCTAGGCCGGGCATGGTGGCACACACCTGTAATCCCAGCAGTTTGGGAGGCCGAGAGGTGGATGGATCACCTGAGGTCAGGAGTTCAAGACCAGCCTGACTAACATGGAGAAACCCTGTCTCTACTAAAAATACAAAATTAGCTGTTGTGGTGGCACATACCTATAATCCAGCTACTCAGGAGGCTGAGGCAGGAGAATCGCTTGAAGCCAGGTGGCGGAGGTTGCAGTGAGCCAAAATTGCACCACTGCACTCCAGCCTGGGCAACAAAGAGTGGAACTCTGTCTCCAAATACATACATACATACATATGTACATACATACATGCTTGCTAAACAAATGAATGAGTGAGTTCTACAGAGTTTATGCACTAAAGAACGCTGTCCTTTCTTTTGATCTAAAATCCAGCTACAAAGCAATGCATATCCCAGTCAATCATTCCATCCCTTCCAGCCCCTCCCTCAAGCCTTACCTGCTGAGGGTGATGACTGGGGCATCACCAGGTGTGTTCCAGGTGGAAAACGGACCCCGGGGCCAGGTAACATTGGCCATCAGGAGGACATTGGGGAGTGGCAGGGAGGGTACTGAGGAGGTCACCCCAAGGATCACGGTGGTAGACCTTTCACAGACATCTTTCCAGTTCCCGGGCTTAGTGACCTAGAAATCAGCCCGAGGTACATGGGTCAGAAAGAAGCAGAAAACAAGATGTGGAAAGACACAGATGCTGGAAAGGGATGCTTCATCTGGGGGCAGGTGTACGGTACACGGGGCTGGGCCCTGACCTGCTGTTGATCCTTTCCGTTGGTTTCCCCAAATAGACTTCGAGGTCCTTGGCCTCAGGAGCCCTGTGTTATCCTTCTCTGTGTCCTCTGTTGTATCTAACTGCAAAAAGACGCACTAGCAAGAAAAAGCTGAGTGGCATTGAAGTTCTCATTCCCCACCCTTGGGTAGGAGAAGCTGGCCCTGGTTTCTAGTGGCCTAGAAGGGAGATTGTGTGAAAAAAGTCCGGAAGGGGAAGAAAGTGAGGAAAGAGCTGTTGAATGGGGAAGACCCAGAGAGCTTGAGTTGAGGGAGGTTTGGAGCACTAATCCCAGGGTGAGGAAGGGGCCATCTTGTTGCTGGGTCTCGAGTGGAATGAGGACCTATTCTCTGGAAGCACTAGGAGGCTGTCGCAGGACAGAAAGACTGGATGCATGGCCTGGCACTGGGCACAATGTCTCAGCTAAGACACCCCCCACCTCATTGTGCATGGCTGGCAGAAAAGCACCAGAGGTATGGCCACTAAGGAGCCACAGGGACCCTGGTAAGGAATGTATGAGGAGGGACCCCTATGTTCCCAAGGCCAGAGGGCCTTCTTCCAATGCTCTACACCTTTTTTAGAAAATGGGGCCAGGTGCTGTGGCTCATGCCTGTAATCCCAGCACTTTGGGAGGCTGAGGCGGGCAGGTCACTTGAGGTCAGGAGTTCGAGACCAGCCTGACCAACATGGAGAAATCCTGTCTCTACCAAAAATACAAAGTTAGCCAGGCGTGGAGGTGCATGCCTATAATACAAGCTACTGGGGAGGCTGAGGCAGGAGAATCGCTTGAACTCAGGAGGCAAAGTTGCAGTGAGCTGAGATCATGCCGCTGTACTCCAGCCTGGGCAACAAGAGTGAAACTCCGTCTCAAAAAATAAATAAATAAATAAATAAGAAAATAGAGAATAGGGTCTCACTATGTTGCCCAGACTAGTGTCAAATTCCTGTTTGACCCTCTCCTCTCACCCTCCCAAAGTGCTGGGATTACAGACACAAGCCACTATGCCCAGTCAATGTTCTAGACTTTGTAAAACCATCAACACCACTGCACAGTCCTTGGTGGAAGTGGGGACAGGGGAAAGCCCAGGGGATGACTGAAATGTAATTTCCCACCAGCCTGACCAGATGGTGTTCCAAGAAAAGTGATTTTTGATTTTGGGGAAAAAAAAAAAAAAAGTGACACTTCTTGGAGTCCATGTTGAGGAATGAAATTCATGTCCTCTGCAAAACACAGAGGATTGCACACATTGAGAGTACGTGCCCAATAAATGTTTGTGGGTGATGCTGCTTTGGGAAGATGATAGTGATGGTGATGTGGAGGAGACGGGAGAGAGGAAGCAGTGTAACTGCACTGTGACAATGATAACTATAACTAATATGTGGATTGCATCATTTCAAGTAAACTTTGAGCTGTGTGGTTATTTATGCCTATAATCCCAGCACTTTGGGAGTCCAAAGCAGGAGGATCACTTGAAGCCAGGAGTTCAAGACCAGCCTGGGCAACATAGTGAGACTTTGTCTCTATCAAAACATTTCTTTAAAAAATCAAACTTTGAACTTTACTGTGGGAGTCAGCCTCTCCCTAGCAGGTTCTGAGTTTGCTGCTGCCTTGGTCACTTAGTGTCCATTCAGATAAGCTAAACAGTTTTAATATCAGGCCAAGGAAAACACATTAAGAGGCCAGGTGCTGTAGCTCATGCCTGTAATCCCAGCATTTTGGGAGGCTGAGGAGGACAGATCTCCTGAGGTCAGGAGTTCAAGGCCAGACTGACCAACAAGGTGAAACCCCATCTCTACTAAAAATACAAAAATTAGCCAGGCGTGGTGGCAGGCATCTACAGACTAGCTACTCAGGAGGCGGAGACAGGAGAATTGCTTGAACCTGGGAGGCGGAGGTTGCAGTGAGCTAAGATCGCGTCACTGCACTCCAGCCTGGGTGTTGGAGCAAGACTCTCTCTCTCTCTCTCTCTAAAAAAAAAAAAAAAAAAAAAAAAAAAAAAAAAAAAACACATTAAGAGAACATATTTGCAGCCAAATCATTACTCCCCAATAGAAATAACTAGAAATTAGATCCTGAGACTGGATTTCCAGTGTTACTGCTCTGTCTCCATCAAGGATGTTAGGAATGAGCTCACCCCAGATTTGCCAGCTGATCACCCAACTACACATCTCCCCGGGGCCGCACAGGAGCAGCAGGAGCCATAAACACAGCTCTCCAAAATCTGAAGACTCCATCAGGGAGTAGCTCATTGCTCTGTAAAGAGTCTCTAAATGAAGCCCAATACCCACCTCCAACTGTTCCCACCTTCTCTCCTATAACCCCTGGCCATTTTCCCCCTCCATTTGAATGGGTCTGTGTCTTGCAGACCTCCCTGCATTCCAGTCTCCCTGCCTTTCCTCAGGTACTCTGAAGCCACTCTGTCTGGGATATACTCCCCGCTGCTCTTCCACTTACCAAAATCTCAGCAGTCTCTTAAAGAATGGCTTAAGACCCTTCTGGAAAGCCTTCAGACAAAGTCCAGAAAGAATGCCTTTAACGCTCTCTGCAGCCATGTCTGGGACATCAGCTGGCCCAAACTCTCTGACATACAATTTGCTTAGACAGGTACCAAATAACAGGTAAACTAAACTCATACGCTTCCTGGCCAGGGACACTCTCTGATCTTTCCCTGCACCTCCTGCTCTGCATGCAGTAGATGTTTGGTGTGTGCTCACCGGCTGATTAACTGGTTATGCTCTCCTGCACAGGAGCGCGGGTTCAGGCTAGACCGCTAGAGGGAGACAGGCAGCACCTGTAAGACTTGATACTTAACGAAAACGATCACCCTCCACTCCCAGTGGCTCCATCCCAGGCTCACTTCCATTGGTCATGTCACCACTGCTCTTTGGGAATGGTAGGATCTGGGTAAGCCCTATTTACCCAGTGTCTTTGCTTTCAAATAAGGCTGTTTCTAAACCATCCCAGAGTGAGGAAGTTGGATTTCAGAGCAGAGTTTCTAACAGCAACCTTCATTTCCTGTAACCATACAGTTTGGACAAGTAGCCCAGAAAGGGCCTGTGAATCCCGCCTGGAGACTGAGCTCTGATCTCTCCTTTTGTAAGGTATAAATCGATTTCCTTAAAGCAGACGACCTGCAGGGATCCTCAATATACCACAGGCATAAATGGAGGTGAACATGGGACCCAGACCCTCTGGTTTTCTCTAGCTTTGGTGGCTTCTTTATCCTCCTCAGGGCTTTCAAACCTAACCATCCCCTAGGAACAAGTTTTGGAAAGAGAAAGACAGCTGGCCCTGAGTGCCACGAGGGTACCTGGATAAAGTTGCTTTCAAACACCACCGAGTCGGAGAACAAGTTGAATTCTGGAGAATGAATTAGTTGACAAAGAAGGCCATTTTCCACCCCAAGTTCCACGCCAGGGCCTGGTTCCCTGACCTCAGGTGGGAAGCCCCTGATTTTACTCATTGATTCTTGGGAAGAATGGGCTGGGGAACATTTCTGGGGCTCCACGTAGACCCAGCCCAACGGCAAGATGTTGATGTGATCTGCCCCCACCTCCCCAGCTCTTTCTCCCCTCCTTACTTACGGGCTGTCCACCAGGGCCGGGAGGGCCTGTCGGCTCACAATGGCAGGAATGACATCAAGGAATGTGATGGTGACAACAGAAAAGGAAAAAAAAAAAATAGGAGAGGAGAGGAAGGACACTGGATGTGCCAGGCTCTTTTCTCCCTCTTTCCACCAACTAACCAGCAGTAATGCAGCCTATTCCACTTTTTAAACATTCAGTCATACCCCAAATGGGGAATATGACCCTCCCAAAGTTATGCCAAGACAGCAGTAAGCTGGCCAGATGCAAGAAAGTCTCTGGGGAACACACAGGCTTTCATTCTCTTGCCTCCCAGTGAAGCCTGTCACAAAACTTCCGTGTGACTTGTTCACCTGCTCAGAGAAGTCTAAGGGTAAGAGAAAGGGAGTTCCTCTTCCCTACCCCCTCTCATGGGATAAAAGGAGATTTTTTTTTTTTAAAGAAATAAACACCTATTAACTAAACAGGCTTATTTATTTGGAAACAGTGGGCAAAGGAGAAGGCAGTGACACAGTTGTGTGCTAGAGCCAGACCAAAAGAGGTCATGAGAGCTGGCTGTTGCATTTTCAGGAATGTTACAAGCCAGTTGTTAAACACAGGAATTATTAAAACTTTTCTTTTCTTTTGAGATGGAATTTTGCTCCTATTGCCCAGGCTGGAGTGCACTGGTGTGATCTTGGCTCACCGCGACCTCCGCCTCCCAGGTTCAAGCAATTCTCCTGCCTCAGCCTTCTGAGTAGCTGGGATTACAGGCATGAACCACCACGCCCAGCTAATTTTTTTTTTTTTTTTTTTTTTTTTGTATTTTTAGTAGAGACAGGGTTTCTCCATGTTGGTCAGGCTGGCCTCGAACTCCTGACCTCGGGTGATCCACCAGCCTTGGCCTCCCAAATTGCTATTACAGGCATGAGTAACAGGGCAAGGCCACTTTAGATATGTTTTAAAGGATAGTCTTTCCATGACTCTAGTGAGACATTTAAAAAAGCCCTTTGTAATTTTAAGCCATCGATATTTTGAGATTGTTTATTACCTCAACTTAACCTAGCTAATCCTGATTGGTAACAAGAATAAATTCTCAGAAGTAGAATTGTTGGGAAACTGAGGCAGGTGGCTCATGAGATCAGGAGATTGAGACCATCATGGCCAACATGGTAAAACCCCATCTCTACTAAAAATATAAAAAGTAGCTGGGCATGGTGGCACATGCCTGTAATCCTAGCTACTTAGGAGGCTGAGGCAGGAGAATTGCTTGAACCAGGGATTGCGAGGTTGCAGTGTACCAAAATCACACCACTGCACTCCAGCCTGGTGACAGAGCAAGACTATGTCACACACACACAAAAAAGTAGAATTGGTGTGAAAGGATATATATGAGCCAGGTGTGGTGGCTCACGCCTATAATCCCAGCACTTTGGGAAGCTGAGGCAAGATCACTTGAATCCAGGAGTTTGAGACCAGCCTGGGCTATATGGTGAAATGCCATCCCTACAAACAATAGAAAAAATTAGCCAGGCATGGTGGTACATGCCTGTGGTCCCAGATTCTCAGGAGGCAGAGGTAGGAGGATCACTTGATCCTAGAAGGCAGAGGTTGCACTGAGCCAAGATCATGCCACTGCACTCCAGCCTGGGTAACAGAGTGAGACCCTGTCTCAAAACAAATAAATAATTTGAAAAAAAAATAGTGATGGATACCATTGTAATGCGCTTCATAACAAGTATACCAATTTATATTTCTACCAACAATGTTTGAGAGTTTGTGCTTCTTATAGATCTACCATCCCAGTATGTCATCAAGCTTTTGAACTTATCAGGCTGAAAGTTTTTAAAACAGTATCTCAATGTAATTTTAATTGGGTATCTTTTCATTTCCTTCATTGCTTTTTATTCTATAAATTTTTAATTCACAACATTTGCCAATTTTTCTATTAGGCTACTGGCCTTTTTCTTATCTATTTTATAGGCAATCTTTTCATATTGGAAAGATTGAGTTGTGATTTTTTTTTTCCTAGTTTTAAATTTGTCTTTGAATATGTTTACTGTAGTTTTATAGTATTTTCATTTATGGCTTTGGGATTTTGTATGATATTTTGACAAAGTTTCCCCATTCTAAGATTATACAATATTTTCCCATGGTTTCCTGAACTGCTTTTACGATTATTATCTTTCTATTTAAGTCTTTAATCCACCTAGGATTTTTCCTGGTTTGTGAGATAAAGTCTAGAACCAATGTGTTTGTCTGTATTTCCCCAAATGGCTATCAATTGTCCCGTGTCACTTATAGTTTAGTATGTTACATCTTTCACTACTGATTTGAGATTCATTCATTTAACAATTATTTATTAAGTATCTACTATATATGGCGGGCATTATCCTAGATGCTTGGAATAAATCAATGAACGAAATAAAAAGCGTACATTTAAGCAAGGAGATTCCAACAATTAAAGAAAAATGATATAGTGTGTTAGGAGGTGTTAAGTGCTATAGAAAGAAAAGAACAGGATAAGGGGGAGCAGGAATGTTGGGGATGGATGTGGTGGAAGGTTGTGCTATTAAATAGGGGGGTCAGTTTAAGCCTCATTGAGATTCATGAGGACAATGCCACCTTTCTCAGAATCAAAAGTCTTAACTATAGTGGGCCAATTTCAGAATTTATTTTACATTGTCTTGAACTGTCTATTCATATGCTGGCACTATACTATTTTAAATATTGAGGATTTGTAAACCTTATCAGGTTAGTTTGAAGGAGTTAATGTTTTCTTTTCTTTCCACAGGTGTTGATCTCATGAAGGCTATAATTTTTCAGGGATGAAATTTGAATTTTTTTTTCTTTCGTGGCACGGTGGCTCACATGTGTAATCCCAGCACTTTGGGAGGCCAAGGTGGGTGGATCACCTGAGGTAAAAAGTTCAAAACCAGCCTGGCCAACATGGTGAAACCCTGTCTCTACTAAAAATACAAAAATTAGCTGGGCATGGTGGTACAGGCCTGTAGTTCCAGCTACTCTCGGGAGGCTGAGGCAGGAGAACTGCTTGAATGGGAGGTGGAGGTTGCAGTGAGCTGAGATGGTGCCACTGCACTCCAGCCTGGGTGACAGAGCAAGACTCCATCTCAAAACAAAAACAAAAACAAAACAAAACAAAACAAAACAACAACAACAACAACAACAAAACTATGGAGTTAAACCAATGATTTTTTTTTCTTTTGAATAGCAAGGAATGGCTTATTTGGCAGGTTTTAAAAATTGTTTGCAGCAATACAAGTAATTGCTTACAACTGGTTCCTGTTTCGGACTGGATAAAACTCACAGTAGCAAAAAGACCTTCACAATAACAGCTCCTGAGAATTTGGTCATAAAATAAATTACTAATTTTAAATTCATAAAAGAAGTATCTGACTATAATTGCCAAACATGAAGAAATCACCAGTACTAATGTACTGATGTCCTTGTACAACTGACCTGTATCAGAGTGCCTCATTTTCAAAATTAGGACCCTCTCATATTTCTACAATTTCCAAATGCATTATCAATTTTTCATTGTTTTTGAAATCAGAAGAATTTTTAACATGACTTTAAAAGTATTTAAGGATATTTATATCTTCAAATATTTAAAAATTATTATTATTAAAAACAAAATATTTAAGGTAAAAAGAAAATGAGTAACATTAATATCCATATCTAATCACTGGAATTATAAATTCACAGTGCAGGCCAGGTGCAGAGGCTCATGCCTATAATCCCAGCACTTTGGGAGGCTGAGGTGGGTGAATCGCTTGAGGTCAGAAGTTCAAGACTAGCCTGGCCAACATGGTCAAACTCTGTTTCTACTAAAAATACAAAAAGTAGCCACATGCGGTGGTGCACACCTGTAGTTCCAGCTACCCAGGAGACTAACGTATGAATTTCTTGAACCCGAGAGGCAGAATACATTAATCTGTTCTCATGCTGCTGATAAAGACATACCCAAGACTGGGCAATTTACAAAGAAAGAAGTTTAGCTGGACTTACAGTTCCACATGGCTGGGGAGGCCTCACAATCACGGCAGAGGGCAAGGAGGAGCAAGTCATGTCTTACATGGATGGCAGCAGGCAAAGAGAGAGCGAGCTTGCGCAGGGAAACTCCTCTCTTTAAAATGATCAGATCGCATAAGACTTAATTATCATGAGAACAGTACAGAAAAGACTTGCCCCTGTCGTTCAATTACCTCCCACCAGGTCCTTCCCACATATGAGAATTCAAAATGAGATGTGGGTGGGGACACAGCCAAACCATATCATTACACCCTGGCCCCTCCCAAATCTCATGACCTCACATTTCAAAACCAATCATGCCTTCCCAACAGTCTCCCAAAGTCTTAACTCATTTCAGCATTAACTCAAAAGTCTACAGTCCAAAGTCTCACCTGAGACAAGGCAACTGGACAAGTTGGAAGTCCCTTCTACCCATGAGCCTATAAAATCAAAAGCAGGTGCCGGGCACGGTGGCTCACGCCTGTAATCCCAGCACTTTGGGAGGCTGAGGCAGGTGGATCACCTGAGGTCAGGAGTTTGAGACTAGCCTGGCCAACATGGTGAAACCCTGTCCCCACCAAAAATACAAAAAAATAGTCCAGTATGGTGGCAGGTGCCTGTAACCCCAGCTACTCAGGAGGCTGAGGCAGGAGAATTGCTTGAACTTGGGAGGTGGAGGTTGCAGTGAGCCAAGATCATGCCACTGCACTCCAGCTTGGGCGACAGAGCAAGACTCTCAAAAAAGACACAACAAACAAACCAGCACCACCAACAAAAACTAACTAAAATGTGCAAAATCCAAGTAAAGATATATTGTAAGTACCAGTATACACACTTAGCACCACAAAAAAAGTATTTAAAATATCTCATTAATAATACTTTGTAGCCGGGCGCGGTGGCTTAAGCCTGTAATCCCAGCACTTTGGGAGGCCAAGGCGGGTGGATCACAAGGTCGAGAGAT